ACGCCGCCTATGTTGGGGAGGCCCTCTTTGGACTAACGTGCACATTGTGGGGAAAAGATTTCTCGCTATTCGCAGCTAACTTTCCTATCGAACTCTGTCTTGGATTTATCTGACCGTCGCAGTGTTGTTTGCACAGCAAAAAAATAAGTAAGCAACAGTAGATTGAACAGTACCGACAAGGTTGATTTTCCCTTTTAAATTTGATCTATTCGGCGAAACAGCAGGAACAGGCGCAGACACAACCCAGATGCTCAATGGTGGTATCCAATACCTGTCTCCTAGAGCGTGATGCCTTTAGTGCACGACAGTGGCACGCTTACTTCTTTTGTTGTTCGAAAAAATACAACAATAGACGAAAGGTGCATGTGAACTCACTGCGGTTTTTATTTGTACGCACATGCTGGAACAAACCGGGCAAATAATGCGAAACCTTGCAGCAGTCTTTCACGCTTACCCCTCTTAACCATTCTTGACATCGGTAAAAAGCGGGAGATGCAGCCTCTACAAACGCCACCTTCGTTTCGTTCTCCCGAATCCTGCGCACCTTCGCTTGAACTGTGTTGGCAGCCTAAAATTTTAGGCAGTGCGGGGCTTTCTGACGCTTGACCAAGCCCTCTCCCTATATGGAGAGAGGGCGCGTGGCTAGGCGAAGCTGCGTGCACGCTCTTGGTAGGGAGGGGGCGTGTGCCGTGTGGTCAGGCCTTTAGGCATACATGACTTGCGAACGGCATCACTCCATAGACATTGCGTGAAATGGTAGTGTGTGCACTGGCTGAACAAAGGCGTTGCATGGCTTAACACGTTGGACCCAGATGCACCGCTCTCGCTCTCTCCCTCCTTCTATATTTGAGTTGTACGACGACAAAAACTCCGGGATAAAAATGTCCGTGGGCAGGACGAAAGGCAGGCTTCGAACTTTAATTTTTCGAGACATTGGTCAACGAACGCGTTAGTAATTAGTGACTTATAGCTGCCTTACACATCCATCTGCGCATCCTCAATTTTCCACGACTTTTATTAGAGAGTGGCTCTCGAGCTCGTGGACGTGCATGCGAGTGTGATGGGACTTTACTGTTTACCATTTGCTGGATATCCTCCGTCGTGACGAACAAACAAAAAATAAGAGAGAGAGAGAGAGAAAAAGTGGTGTGGCTTGAGTTGCGCGCGGTGCTGGACCAAGCGTGGAGCCCGTTTCTGCCGCAGAAAACGCACCTTTGGTAATGGCTGTGACGCTTGGATGCGTGCCATGAAGTTTTATTTTGTTTATTGCTGGTCGCTGGGCGTCCTCGTGGCAGAGTGTGCGACCTCGTTCTCGTGCGCACGATTGTTATTTCATTGTAAAAAAAAGGCACGATGAACACCTTGTGTTTATGGAGCGGCCCACAAGAGGTTTTCTTCTCGTCTGTGAAATCAAAACATGCTCAATGCAAGGGCCCGAACCTCTTTTCACGCAAAAGAAGCTTAGGGAAAGCAATTTATTTTTCAAGAAACGGTCAGGGAACCTGGGCAGATGGTGGGCTTCTAAAGTATGGTGCAGATATCTATCAAGAGCTTGGGTATGGTGTGGAGGTAAAGGTCAGGAAAGTTGAAAACTAATTACTGAGTAATTGGAGTTTTATATTGGGGACGAAGAAGCGAGCGATGGAAAGGAAAATGATAGGAGTAATCTTAAGACATAAGAGAGCAGAGTGGGTCAGCAAACTTGCTGGGGTTAAGGATGTCATAGTTCAAATCAAGAAGAAATGGACATGGGCCCGGTACGTAACGCGTAGGTAAGATAACCGCTGGTCGTTAAGGGTGACTGACTGGGATCCCGGATAAGGCAAACGCATGAGGGGGAGACGAAGTTAGGTGGGCCGATGAGGTTAAAAAGTTTGCAGGTATAATTTTGAACACATGCTCTGGCGCTGCTCGGAATTGGCCGGTGTGGCTTCTCGTGGTGAACAGTGGTGGCAGCGAATGGCGCGCTGGCGGACCAACTCAGGGCTGTCCAGAGGGCCCGTCTGGCGGCAGAGGGGCTTGGCCTCTCTGTCTCGACGTGGGAGCAGTCAGCATCAGTCCTAGACTGATCCTCAGGACTTAATAAAGTTCTCCATACCATACAATATAACGTGGAAGAAGAAAGCATAAGATCGGGTGGATTGGCGGAACATGAGAGAGGATTTTGCCTTGCAGTGGGCGCAGTCAGTCTGATGATATACAATTCATCCAGAAGGAAAGCGATAAAAATGACGTTGTTATAGAAAAATTATGAAATTTTTCAGGTACTAGAAAAAGTAGTGGTTGGGGGGGGGGGGGGGGGGGTCTTGTATGTGAGGTAAGGGATAAGTATATACAATCACGTTTATTTGCAGGTACAGAAATAGAAGTTCACCAATATTTTCCCTATTTTGTTGCGAGAGAGAGACAAATCATTTTTTCTGTGGTTCGTTCCTCGCTCGACCCATGCAACGTGCAAGACGCTTTGGACCTAACGGGTACCACGACCAGGTACCCGTTAGTTAACCGTGTTAACCTCCTAGATGACACGGCGTTTGGTTTCAATGTTCTGAGTTGTACAGGGCAGCTTCTGGGCAATATAAAGGTGATAGCGTGGTGGTCCGGAAACCCGGGGGGGGGGGGGACGACGACCCAAACACAGCCGGTAATCACAATCATTGTCCTCCACATTCGTTGTCCTCCCATGAACTGGCGCTCTTTGGCCATCAAATGGCCCTTGCGCCAAAAAACACCATATATCATCATCATCATCAACACGCTGACGAATACATTTTTCTGTTAGTTCGTTTGTGGCGTGATGTAGAGGAATAGATGGGAGAATTGCTTGTTACGAGCAAGGTCTGCTGGTCTCGCAATACTGCTTTATCCGCCGTGTTCCGTGACCAGCAGGATTCGGTAGGAAAGTTGGCTCTTCTTGTTCCGAACAGACGGACCGCATATTTTTGTTGCGATGGCAGAACTGACTGCCGGAAACATGCGGGGAGTGCGTGGAAGCGCACAGACCACGATATGGATGCGGGTTCATTTCCTGTTCCAGAAGCAGCACGCAAATGTCATGACCGCCATCCTTTTCGCTTAACTATGGCCGAAGCGCGTCATTTAATTGCCTCCGCGACTAAACTGTGCAATAGAGGTTTTTAGTCTGTATGATATTTCGGTAACGCAAAATCGTGGCGTGTTACCGAATAGCGGGTCCCGCAGCTGCAATTACGGCAAGTGGTGTCATCTATAGACGATAGAAGACAACTAAGAAACACTTAATATATGACCGCCGAGATTCCGGTAGCGGCACTCACTAAGCCTGCATGTAGCATCGATTGTTTGAGTAACTTCCGAAAACAGTGCAGAATCCACACAAACACTGTGTTGGTGGTGTTTAAGGACGTGTCTCAAGCAAATAAGAGCATCTATTCGAAGCTAGCGCGCTACAGGCGCGCGACGGCCGCTCTCGTTTTTAAACGCGGGCCACCCTGTGTGTGACGTACCGTGTCGATAACATTGCCTCTCCCAGCAGACGCAGGTAGCGCATGGTTTCATCTAGAAAAATACTTGACGCAAATGAACCGTCATGATTTTTTTTTACTTATTTCATTGCGTTCTCAATGTAGCAAGGTACACTTCTTCCGCTGAGGGTAGAATGGTAGCAGACTTCTAGATCTGTGTTATTGACCCGGGTGTGAACAGGTGTGTGTTTGCGACGGATGGGTACATTGCACTTGCCTTATGAAACATGCGTGCATTGCAGGAAAGTTCAATTTTCAGCACTTGTAGGAAAGTTTAGTTACACCAGCCGCCCGTTCGGCTTCACTACAGCATGGTAGCTTTTGTTACTCGATAAATTTTACTACGACACAATTTTCGTTATTAACAACCAACGTGATTTTCATGGCAGCTCTTGATTGTACACCACACCAGTTTCGCTTCCTTCATGGAGCTTGCTACGGACACATTCTCGCTGACCTTGTCATCTCGGAATCCGCTAGTCGATCATTTCTTCGACTTAGTATCATGAGCGGTGAATGCGCTTACACAAGACGAAGTACACACACACACATACAAAAATAAAGTGCCGATTTAAAAACGCCAGTTCATTCGTCCACGGATAGCTTCGCATAGCTTAGTTATCACTTCATAAGCTGCTGACCAATACCTCGGTAGGCTAACATTATTTAGAACATAACCACCCTTGGAAACCCGTCCGGTTTCTTTCGGTTGCTGATCAATTCCGGCTTCCTACGCCGATCGCATAATGTATGTTCGGCCACGTCGTCCGTCCGCCCGTAGGAAACGGGGAGTCGTCTCGACGGCTGGCCGGCCGCGTTGTCAAGAAGAGGAAGAAGACGAGTTGACGCGACCGAGCGCGGTTCAAAGGCCCGCGCTGACCCGGCTCTTATGATGGGGCCTCTCGTGGCTCTCGGATGGACGGATACGGGAGGGAAGTGGAAGAACCCACACCCGTCGGCTCACTGGCGTAGTCTGCACCGCACAGGGCGCCCGCCGTCCGTGGCCGGGCAATTGCAGCAGAATGTGAGCTGCAAACACGAACTGTTGGCGAGAAAACGAACAGAAAAGGGAGCAGGCGGACGCCGAAAGGAGCTGCTAGGTCGAAGACGACGTGAAGCCGCCCGTCGCCGAAAGAAACGAACAAAGTGGGGAAATGCCCGAAAAAAGAAGTAAGGGCGCGTGCATGAGTCACACACACGGCGTGCTCGACGGCGTGGTTGGTGGCGAGGGTCGCGTCGGACCAACGGAGCAGCAGCCAGGTAGCGTAACAATGGAGAAAGAAGGCCCGCGAGAAAGGGTGACGGGCCGGACCGGTGGTGGTGCCGCTGCTCGGCCGCGGCGTGTGCGTCGGTGCTTGGGTACGACGATGCCGTCGGCGTGCCTTTCCTCCTCGTCGCGGTGACCGCGTTCCGTGTGCACAGCGGTGCCCGGCTTCGTCCAAGCCGCTCGCTCGCCACGTCGTGCTGGTGGACTGCAGCGCGCGCGACGGTTTTTACGCCGCCGTCACCCGGGCGCGCGCGTCGCCGTCTTGCGAGCGCGCTCCTCCGTATGCATGGACCGTGCCGGGGCCGTGACGTACGAGGAAGACTCGTACCTGCCCGACTGCAAGGCCGGCGAGGAAGAGTCGCCCGCGTACGACTCGGGTCAGGACCTCGGCCAGGTGGGCGCCACCGACCCGACGCTCGACGACGAAGGCCGAAGTCTCCTCAGGCTGGCCGCCGGCGAGGAGATTGAGGAGTTGCACCACGGTGAGGAGCTCTAATACGGTCGTTCGTTTATTGCTTCCAGCTGCTTGCGTCGTTGAAGCGAAGCGTGCGAAGACGGCTCGACTAGCTGGCAGAACTGCGCCTCGCGATCCACTCGGTCATCGCACGCCCGTCGCCGCATGTGTTTTCTTGCCACGATTTGAGGAGCCTTTCATCATCGCCGCCGTGTCCTATTTTCTCGCACCACTGCCAGATGTGAAATTCGCCAGCGTTATTTGGTCCTTACTGGCTTTGCTCATTCATTGAAGGACCCACATGGGGTTGTACTTCAACAGCTGTTAGGTGAATGAATGAACGAGTTTGGTGCGCAAATTCTACTTCATGGCCTTCTGGTGCCAGTATGGTGTGCCCTGTGTTCAGTAATAGTTTTGGTGTTTATTTGCCCATAGCCTTGTGAAATACGCGTAAATTGTGTTTAACTACTAGGCCACCTAACCTGACAGTGTATCTCAAACTGTATGCACATAACCTTGTTCAGTGCGTGACCCCAGCCAATACCTTGGCACAGTGCTGCCACAGTCTTTTTACTTTGATTTGAAAAGTGCAATATGAAAAGCTAGCATTTGTGCATTAGTGAAAAGGAAGGTATTGTGACACTGGCGATATATGTAGCAATTCACCATGCATTTCGTGTTCTCTACACTTAAGCGTACAAAGTGTACTGTGCTCTGGACATGCTACTGATTATCTTCGTGTGCTCACTGACTCTGTTGCCTTATTGAGATAAAGCAGCTTATACTGTCAATTTGTTCATCATGAAAATCTGCATCCACTCCTGCAACATGCAGCAATTGCTTCTATTTGTTTCATAAAAGCGCTGTAAAACAACCTGGCATTGTCTTCAATCACTGTCGTCAGTGTGTCAGACTTGCACATGTACTTGACACATGCACTCGACACATCACTTCTCTTTCATATGACTGGGGCTTCTGCTGCATGTGCATTGGACGATTGCCCAGTTTGCTCTCAAGCACTATGCTGCAGAAAATGAGCTATATGAAGCCTGCATCTTGCTAGAGTTAGATACTCTGAGTCTGTTTTGAATGTTTTTGCTTGTGCAATAGTTAATTTTGGCTGAGCAGCTCTTGAAACGTTGGACCTTTCACAACCAAGGCTGTTCTTCTGATGTCATGGCAGAACAAATTTTTCCTAGATTGTTAAGCGATAAGCTGTCATATGGAGGTGTTGGTGGTGGTGAAACTTCATTGATATGGAGGTGTTGCTTGTGGAAAATTACAATTGATATGGAGGTGTTGCTTGTGGAAAATTTGTGAACAAAGGCCCAGCATGTGTTTTCTTGTACAGCTTTTGTATAGGACAGTGGGATCAATTAGGGGAATAGGCTGTTGCAGCATGTCTATCATTTAGTCCTAGAAATGGTTCCTAGAGAGTATGAAATTATTGTTTGGGGCACTCTGGTATTGCCAATAACATTTTATAGGTCTGATGGGGTTGGTATCTATAACATAATGGTGACATGTTTGCACTCTTCAAAAAGCTCCTAGTTGTCAAATTGTCAAATAGTGTGTGTGTGTGTGTGTGTGTGTGTGTGTGTGTGTGTGTGTGTGTATATATATATATATATATATATATATATATATATATATATATATATATATAGAGAGAGAGAGAGAGAGAGAGAGAGAGAGAGAGAGCCCCTATCGCAGTACCTTTTGCTGCTGGAATTGGCTAAATATATTTTAATTGCATTACACTACATTATTGGATCAGTCATTCCGCACGATGTTGGAAAGCCTTGTTGATTATTTATTTGTTTTCTCGTTGAGGCTGCACTGCTTTACTGATAAACAGGTGATGGTGATAGCATTGTACATACTTGAGAGTGATTGACTTTTAAAGCTTACTAGTCTTTACTGGTCAGCAATAATGCTATTGTGATTTACATTAGCAGCAGCAGGAGGCCCTTTATTAGATTCTAAATTATAGAACTTTCTAAAGTCGATTTAGTCAGTCCCCTGGCATAATTATGAGGTTTTTAATATTTTGGCTCCTATAATGGTTTATTTTTCCTCACGTAACCTTGTTCCATATTTTTGACATAATTAACATTATTCTCATTCTCCGTAGCCCTGTGGTACGTACCGTCACTGCTTTCATAGTGCTTATTTGCAAAGTGTTTGCTTCACTGAATGCTGCCCTTATCATTAACTGTTTCTAACGAGGAGTGTCTTAGTCCCTATATTTTCTTGCATGGAATTAGTGAAGAGAATGTTTTGCATGTTATATGAAAGTGGCACATTCGGTCCTTTCCAGCGGCACGTTTCTTTTGCTTCCTTTGAACTTCACATCTATTTCATGACTGATACCATACACTTAAATAAGTGCAATCAACATCCTCTATGCTTTTCTTGGCTTCGATATCTTCTGGTTTTCATTAATATTGCACGGAATATTTCAGGAACTCGGTTTAAGCACAGAAGCGGCTGTGGAAGATGTATGGCAAAATCAACTTTATTTGTAATAGTGTGTGCTTCTTAAAAATATTCTTGAAGTCGAAAAGTACTCGTGACAAGGTAATGACATCATAAGCAAAAGTATGAAAATTGTGTGTGGTACACTAGGAAACTGTGAACCTTTAAGGGGTTAAGCAGATCTGAAAGAAGTGCACGAGAAATGTATGCTGTTATGTCAGAATTAGGGGCATTGTGAATGTTGTGCTTTCTTTTTTTTTTTTTTTATGGTGTATTTAGCTAAAGGCTTGTGATCTCGTTTGCTCCTTGCAGAGAACTTCTTTGATGCTAGTGCCGACGTGAAAGCAACTGACGCCACTCCGGACAGCGGAGTTCACGACCTATCGGGAATGGACCCCGAAGAAAAGGCCCGTCAGGAGGCGGTTCTGAGGGATGAGTTGGCACAGGTAAAGTGTTGGCAGTTGGTGCACCTTAGTGAGGCAGTGCTCCATTGGACCCTTTCAAAATGCTTTTTTACCTCCGTATTCAGAAACGCTCCTTGTCTTGAATTGGACTTGCCACCATCTTCAGTGCAGCACAAATGCGTACCAGCCATGGCTGCACAAGCGTGCTACATGGAAGGTAGTGGCAAGCCAAGGGGAGTTTCTCAATTCGGGGGTTACAGTAGTAGACATGGTATAAACAGTGCAGCAGCTGCGAAATAATTTTTAGTTTTGACAGTACCACCACTTCGCTTTTTCTGGTGAGAGACTTCATTGTACTGCTGTTCACTCTCACTTATTATGTCCCAATTATTCTCAAATGAAGTGCTTGCTACAGGCAAGCTGATTGTCAATGCCACTAGTGAAATTTGAATATTTGCCAAGGAAAGAATATTGTTTTTTTTTTACTTCTTTTATCTTTAAGCTAAGACCGCATTATAAGATTAGGGGGCACTGTTTTGCCTGGTGTAGAGAAACATGAATAGATATTGCGACTTTTACGACAAGTCTTCTATCCCAGATAAAGGAGGAGGAGGAATAAATTACCTCTACCTACTATTGAAAGTGTGGGTTGATCATGACCCCACCCACTGCTATCCGTTGCCGAGGTCTTGGGACTTTGCCGTTACCGGCTCCGGGGACTCGGGAAGAAGACGCCGACCATGAAGAAACTGATCAGGAAAACTGTACAGAGGTTTATTCTACATTATTTACAAGCGAGCATTTCTCGCCACAAGATGAACATTTAGACGAAGATGTCGTCCTACATCGTGAGGATCTAGTCGAAGGAACTCTCAAGAGCACACAGCGGCTGGTTATCGAGAGTATTTTTCCCCCTCACCCTAAGATGGGGGGAACGGGTTTAAACTTCTCTGTCCAACCACCGCACACACACCACTTTTGACAGTGCCACCCACACCCGCCTTGGGCAACGTCTTTGACCGGGCTGTAGCAACCACACATCCCCTCTGGCGCCAGGTTGTCTCCTCCTTGGGATGATGAGGCCGCTTTGTGCTGAGCCACACATGCTCGCACTGCCAGAAGCATCAAAAGACTCTGCTCACCACACTCAATCTGTGGAGCTGAAGGTCATCTATGCTGTCGCCGCAATCTCTTCCAGGAGGCTGTCTCGACCGAAACCATTTCGGTTGTTGTTGTACACTTTGCAGTGAGGCGTCGCAACTGCATGCCCCTCGCTCTCCGATTGGGACGACAATACTCATATTCGGATGGCTGTCAGCAGGCCCGCTTCCTTGCGGCAACTTGTTTGCAGAACCGCGAACACCCCTCTCTGCTTGGCACAAGTGCCGATCCTAACACTACTAATGTTGGAGCTTCACGAACATGAGTGGAAAAAAAGGTTTAATATGGCTCAAGACAGCTGCACTCTATGCGCCATTTGCCATATTCATTGGCTGGCTATGTCAATCGGAGAAGTACGACTACAGCACTATCTTGCGGGACTAATGTGCCACATCCTGTACTCCAAGGCACAAATGCTAGGTGTAGTAGCTACGTAAGAATAAGTGAATGAATTCATTGTTATCGGATAATTTCAGCCCGTAGACATCATTGTGTTTCTCACTGCTAGTGCCATAGCTTTCATTGTTATTAAAAATCACAAAGGAAGTATTTTTATTTTGTATGCATTTTCTTCTGTAGTGTGCTGATAATATATTGCAATCCTGCTGCTTTCTCTACAGGTGGAGGAAGAGATTCAGTCCCTGAGGACTGTGCTGGCAACGAAGGTGGCCAGGTCCCAGGAGCTGAAACGCCAGCTAGGAATCAGCGTCTGGAAGGAGCTCAAGGATGACATGGAGCAGGGAATCAAGAACATCCAAGACACGGCTGCGTAAGTATCTTTCTGTTTCTGAAAAATAGTGGCTGGTGATGTTTTGAAAACTGTGTACACACTACCATGTGAAGGACAATGAAGCATCACAAATTTCATATTTTAAGAGGCACACTTTGAAGTGCCAGTATAGTAAAAGCATGATAATTCACATTTCATGTGACTGAAAAAGAGAGGTCCAAATTAAATGAATGCCAAATTATTGAAAGTATCAAGAAAAAAAAATGGACAAATGTCTGTTGCATCAGTACACTCATTTTCTTGATGAACGTATAGATACAGTGCTGATTTTGCATAAAAGCAGAGCAAAAGTTGCAATTATCATAACTCTTCAGCTTCATTCTCAATGTGACCACTGTGCCAGACTCCAGAGCCGTGTAAGGCTGAAGCACGCTCTGCATCCCTGTCTCAGTACGCGCCGCCACCACTACCATGTTCGTTTGACGATAGTGGTCTCTCAGGTGTAATGGCTGGCAAGTGATAGTTCATCCGTCACGATGTAACAGGTGCGGCTGAAAGCTCAGTCTTCACCAGCTTCCACCATGTTTGAGTTTTGCAACATTGCATGCACGTTGCATCAAGTTCAAATGAAGCTGGTGAGTGCCGAATCCGCATGTGGACGAAATCGCAGTCACTGACTGACAATGGTATCGATTCTGGCAGCGCCGCCTTGTTTCGCTCTTTTGCGTTGCACATTTCTGGTGCTTGGTGTGCTTCTAGGAACATCTTAATTAACAGGGTTGTGACCGAATTATGGAGTTCAATCTCTGCTTGCTAGTGAAGGCACACTGTCACCAGCTAAAGTTTGACGAGGTTATATCTTACGTCGACTTCACACATCCCACTTGCAATTCCATGCTTTGAAAAGAAAACCCTCTAGCATCTGAACAGTACCATGAACTTATTATAGTTCAGTTAAACCCCTTTATAAGAGGCATGCTCTGGGCAGCAATTCTTGTCTTTTATATGAAATGTTTCTTATAAGCAGGGGACCCCATAAGCATTTTGCTATCCGTTGTATTTTACTGTATGCGCACTGGTGTCTCTTGTACCCATTTGTCTCTTATATCAGTGTCTCTTATAAAGGGGTTCGACTGTAATTCACACCATGACATGTCAACACAATGACACGCATTGGTAAAGAAGGCCCATCACCTTTTCATTGGAGTCCTGTAACTGACAAATGGATGCCTGTGCACCCTGCTTTAATACTTTCAGATGTGCCACCAGTCTTTTTGACGTAGTTGTTCAGCTTTTTTGATGAAATAATTATTTATACGGGCTATGAGATGATGGACTTCTTGCTGCTTGAAACGTCCCGCATAGTGTGTGCCCTTATCCCAATTAAACCTGAGTCGTAGATAGACTCAGAATGAACAGTGAAATCCTCATAGTTAAAGCCTATAGTGCTGGGAAACGGGCCTGCATTTAGAGCCTATGTTACATTGCTGCAGTTTGCAATGTCAAACAAAAGCCAGCATTTGGTAAGTCAGAAAATACATGTGTATATGCACAGCATAGTGAACAGCTCTTTTTTTGTTTGAATTTGTATACCCTATTTTATGGAATACATATGGGCACTGCCGTCTTGGGCTGTTAAACCAATTTTTACTTATATTTGTATGTCATGACTTGAATTAATAAGGTAAAAAAATGTCAAATGCACCAACGAAACATTTTTCGTACGTATACATCTGCCTTAGCTCTGTTAATTTAGTTGTTCAAGATACAGAGCGGTTAGGTTCACAGCCTAATGGTGGCACCGATACCCATCCGTGAAGATGTTTATAGTCAGCGAACTTTCATTGACTTGAAGAAGGTTGGTGATGAGACGGAAGTTGAGCAAAGAGAAACAAACTTCGAGGTTTAATCGTCTGCTATATTTCATATTTCTCTCTCATGCTATTGCCTGATTGATGTGATCATGCCACCAACCAAAGAACATTTAGGTTTCACGCTCAGTTCCCTGTATGATGAAACCCTTGGCTGTGCAGCTCATCCACTACTGTTTGTGCTGCTAGCATGAGTGACCATATATAATCTTTTCTTTTTCTTATGGAAGCTGATATTCCCTAACAAAACACTTATGCTGAAACACATGCAGTGTTGTAGTGCAGCTTTGGGTATTCGTAGTTCGTCATGTACTACCATGTTGTGCTTGGGGTTGTAGTAGGCAAAAAAAAGTAAATTTTATCTTGGTATCATTCACTTGAATGGTATCGGAGCTGATCTGCTGCTTCATTACAGAAAGCACCTGTATGGATTGCTACTTCACATTCATTGTGATCCTCTTGCATATAACTGTCACATGATCAGTCAAGGCTAATTGCTGGGAGAATGACATTTTCAGATGTCTGTAGCTCTGCGCAGTTATCTCCAGCTATCTGGTCGTGGCTTATCATGTGGTCACTCATTTGAGAGGAAGTGTTCTGGCTCTTTTGTTGACTCAGGTTTAAAGATGTCAGTGGGAAATTGGTCGAATGGAATGCTGCTATCACAAGCGCTCCCATGTGAGTCTCTGCAACCATGCAATCGGTGACGATGCTTAGTCATCACTCCTGTATGTCATTGCTTGTGGGTCAAGTGCAAGAACTACAAGAACAAGGCTTCTCTGACAATACATGCACACTTATTAAAGGGGCCCTGCAATGTTTTTTTCATCTGCAATATGCACCGCTGAAGTGTGTAGCGATGAATTCAAAGATGTATGCAACAAGAATGATACAGATTAGCCTACGAAAACAGAAGCTATTTGTCTTCTAACTTCAAAAACCCGAGCACACAAAAAGAAGAAACATTTCACATTTCCCTCTGCCACTGAAGTCAAAGGTTGGTTCCAATCACGGCGTGCCTCTTATAGTAATATACTGCAAGTCTTATATCGTGGTGATTATTGCGTAGCGCTCATAGTGTTGATGTGGAATTATTTTCAAAATTTTATAGTTAAAAAGTGATGTCGTTTTTGTTGAGGAAGCATAAAAGTATTTTTAAAATTTTTAGCGCATGTAATGTAGCCTAGCCAAGAATGCATGAATATTACATGCAACTTGTCGTGTCAGGTTGGTCAAAACGCGCGGCCATTGTTATTGCCTCGGGATGAAGCATCGCCTCTGAGAGTAAAAATATAACTGTTGTGCAACGCTGTCGTCTAAAAATGAGTGATTTTTCTATCGAAATGAAGTTGTAACAGCCTCGTTTTTAGCATTGCCACCTGTAGAGCAATATCAGTGCATTCTAGATTTCCAGAAGAATCAATGAAAACAACACACTTAAATTGTGCTGCAGGGCCCCTTTAATGACAATCCTGATCCACCACATTTCACCAGCGGACAGGATTTCATGGATGTTGTGGAAGCATTGCCTTGTTCGAGAAGTTTCTGTACTTGGCTGCATCCGACTTATTTTCAGTGTCCTCGTCTACATGTTTTTGATGCTATGTGCTCATCTGTGCAACTGAAGTCCCGTGTTGTGGCTATCTTGTTCTATGCCTTTCAAACTCTTGTCCCCTTTCTCTTCTTACACGTTTTTTCACTTGCGTCTTAGGGAGTGGAACTGGACTTAGAGCTGTTCTTCGCTCGAAAGCTTTGCTAATGCACTGACCGCCCTTGCTTCTGATGTGCCTGTCTCATGCGTGCCCTCTCTTTTCCTTTGCATGTCTGTGCTCAGTCAAAATTTCCCGGGCCTCTTTAACTCTACCACGTACGTCAACCACTACTGCTGCTCTCTTTTTTCGCATGCATTACGTCGAACCTGCTTTACGTAATTTTGCATCGTTCTATGTATATCGGTGGCATATCTCTAGCGTGTAAAAAGTTGCCCTCATTATGCTGCTGTAAATGAAGTCTCTTCAATGAAGCTTTCACTGCATTGTCAATTAGTGTTTAATTTCAAACAGTGTTCACTTCAGGCAGTGTTGCAGGCTGGGAACACAGGAGTACACACGAATAGCCTGCCGTTACTAAAATATAGATGGTTAACTGCAAAGCATTGCAAAATTTTCTGAATCAATGTGTTTTGCTGTAGAATTGAAGTGCTATATTAGGAACTTGCTGCATATTTCCTTTCTTTATTACAAAATACACTGTGTTATCTTGCACTGACAGAACTAGCCGTAGTTTGTGTGGGCTAATGTTTCGTTTAGCCAGAGACAAATAGATGTTGATTCTAATCCAGGTGGAGTCAAAAACATGAGTTTGGTAATCTGGGTCGTGCTACACTTATGCAGTCATTTGATGAAATTCAAATCCATTTGGCATTGGTCGTAATTGGAACTGCTGCATAGGAAACTCTCTAAGTTCTTGAAAACAGTGCGAATTTGTGTTTTGAAATTCCTGGCCATGGTGGCAGCCTCAATGATGACAAAAAGGAAATTTAGAATTAGTTGCACATTTAAATACTCAAGGCAGTCAAAATCAATTTGTGTTTTTCTATGGTGTACCTCATTATCCTGTTGTTGCTTTGGCACATTAAGCTACCGATATTAATTAACTGAGTACGAGAAAGTCACATGGCTCTTTGACATCATTTGTGGTCACAAATCTTCGGCAAATTCAGTTAATATAACATGTCCAAGCCAAGCCTGAGCCCTCCCTGAAGAGTGCCATTGCTTAAGCACGTATAACTAGGGAAAGAAAACTTAAGAAAAAAAAAAAGCTTTGCATGTTTAGAAGACAAGTTCACAGAAGTTGGCACCCTTTCAAGTTAGGTGTGAAGTACAGGTTAAGTTCACTTGTGTTAGTCACTTGAGATCAACTTCTTTTTATATGTAATGGACCATAATTTTAATCTCATGCGCAGTTTCCCATTGAGTGCATTGCTTTTCCTAGGTGATAGTGCAAGTTACATTTGCCTTTGCACATTGTGAACGTTGTTAGGACACCGGGTTGTCATCAGATGCTTCCGTGGTATGAGAATAAGGTTTCAGTTTTGTGTCCAACATTCTTTCGACTATGTGCATTACATGAATTTCACTAAACTAAATCTTTCACTGACACCTTTTATTTCCCACTTGTGATGTATCTATGAATTCCTAAGACATACAAGACCAGCCTCTCTATGTTTGGGCTCATTAGCCATGTACCATTTCTCTTCCTAAAAAGGCATGCTACGAAAAGATCTTTTTAACACTCCGCATCGTGCAAAGAATACTTTGTAAATATAAATAATGAAGCATGCCTCTATGCACATCTGTCGCGTTCTTAAACATCTTACGGGCGTCTTACGTGTATCCTTCTCTTTCTTTCCCTTGAACTCCACTGCCTTGCAGTTACCAGAAGACCAGTGCTACTATCAAGACAGCCGGGGAGAAGACTACCACAGCTCTTGGAAGCCTCAGTGCCAGCGTCTCCAAGAAGCTGGGGGAGATGAAGTAATGCACCGTCTTCTACTTTAAATTTGCTTTTTTTTTTCCTTTATGTATATCTACTTCTGAAACACTGCAAAACAACTGCAGTAGAATTTGGTGGTACATTCGGCTGGACCCTACCTTGCTGCAGCTCGAACTGTAGCAATGCAGAGGCTGTCTTGATCCGAGAAAGTGTTGCTGAAGTGAACGCGTTATCCAGGGAGCCCCAAACTCTCCTCAGCTAGTTGCTTGCAGTTACAAAATCAAGTTTCCCAAGGGCTCATTATGGGATGGTATGGTGAAGAAAATGAGCAGTGAGGGGGGTGGGGGGCAGCAGGGGAGTCTCAACAAAATACCAGCTATTGTTGCTATTTGACAGGAGGCCTCATATATGGATAACCCCTGAACAGCATGCGATTTCACATTTCCAGAAACATATCAATGCTGATCTTGAGAATGACTGAAGTCTGGAAAGGTGGATGCCGATTCATGACAAAAATTCTTGTGACCACTTGCGCCTGCGTAGGTCACATACATACATACATACTTTATATGTGTAAAAGAAAAAAAAAAACAAACTAAACAGTCTTGTCCAGGTCAGGCTGGTTGCGGAAGGTCCGCAGGCTGCGTGTTTGAGACACCTTGTGTAGACGCTAGCTAGAGCAGTCAGAGGCTGGAAAAGAAAGCACGTTGGCACGAATCTCGCAATCGAATATGAAGCGCATGTTCAGAGGCTGTTGCTGTGACAAAAGCCGCTACGTCGCTATAGCTTTTTTTATAATGTCACTCGCTCTCCCAGGTCAAAGAGATAGAACATGCCAATTTGTTCAGAGTGCACGATTTTAACCTGCCAAATGTAATGTGTGCCACTAGAGCACTCTGGAGCACTTAGGAGTGACTTGCCAAATGTACCATTCATAAATGCGAATCACTTAAGCTGAAACCACTGCACTGAAGCTCATTTGTCATGTTAGTTGAGCATAATGTGAAAAATTAGACATTAATCGGAATGACGATAAAGCTTGTGACATTCCAACAAGTAGAGTTGACTTTGAAATCCCTAAAGAATTTCGTTATGTCTAGGAACTGAAAACTTTTCGTAGATCCTGTTTTTTATAGCAGTATTAAGAGCTGTGGCAGGTACACAAGCATGAAATAGATATTTAATGCATAACGTGTAATAGTTAACTCAAGAATAAACTTTTTGCATGCTTTGCTGAATAAAGTGCCTTGTCATTTTCTCCGCTTTTTGTAAGAATGACCTGCCACATTTGCTTGATTCAGCGACTTTACAGCCATGTTAATGAGGTGTGTGGCATGTAGAGCCACTTCAGTACACACCTTTCCAAGTTAATGAAACTCATTACTGTTGCCATTAACTAATTAATAAGTAAATTTTTAGTGTGGTGAGTTGCTGTAATTATCAATGGAAAACATTAATCACATCTGCTATCTGCAGTGATAGATAGGTGACGTGCAAAATTTATTGTTAAGCATTTTTGCATTTGGTTCTATATGCATACGATTACCCTACACAAAATGGTTATCCATAAGCTTGAGCTTCATGTATGCTGTCCCATGGTACAAGCTCGCTTATATATAGAACTATTCACAAGAGAGAAAAATTGCGGCCATGCAGGGCTGCGCATGAGAGTACAATGGCTGACATCACCGCCTCGGTAGTGCATTTTAGGGGGGGGGGGGGTCACGCCTATTTAGTGCGGGCTGGAGAGGACTTGGGCAGCACCCAAGGAGCAGCCGTTTGTAAAAAAGTCTATACTTCTGCACACACGTGGTTCACAGTTTGAGTATGTAGGAGCGAATGCCTGCAAACCCACGTGACAGACTGATTTATTGGAGAATGTGGAGAGCCATGTACCTAGACTGTGTTGTGTGTCAATTTTCACTTGCTGAAATTTGTCATATGAAGCACTTTGTGTTTACTTTTTCCTCGTGCGAATTTGAAACTGCAGCAAAGCGAACAGATTAGTGGCTTTGAACAGCATTTCCAAATGCTGTCAAGCTTGGTAAATAGCAATGTCTGCTGTGATATGTAGTGGGGATTGAGAACATGCTAGTGCATATCTGCTTGTTTATTTATGTGCCTACAGTGCCTTTCGAGCATTATTTCAGGGTCTTAAGAACGAGGTAATACTTTTCATGATAATGCAGAAATTACATCATGTAAAAAACACAAAAATCTTGATAATGTATAATCAGAATGACAACTTATTTCCAAGGTCATCTCGTCTTTGCTAGGTAGTTGTGGGTACTATGTCAAGTGTAGTAGCTTGTACACACTGGCAAGTGTATGTGGAGTCATGGACTCATTCTCTACCACTGTTAAGTTGGAGTTTAAACAGTAGTATGAAAGCAGGTGTGACAAGATGTTAGCACTATCTGCTACATTCTAGCATCTTTTCATCTTTGAATGCAACTTCCAGTATCCTTTTAGACCTGTACAGTAGTCTCGTGAAGTTTGCTTGTGAAATTTTACAAATCGTCTAGCAACAAGCACTTTTTTGTAAATTACAAATGGCCGGCATTGAAGTGTCGACAGGACGCTTAAGCGATCTTTGGTTGAGCTTTCTCGTTTATGGCAAACTCGTGCAGTCTCCAGGAAGCACTCATCTGAATCTTTTGGGAAGCTTTTGTGTGGCAGTGGACAGCGACAGTAGACGCTCATTAAATGGAACCTAAAGGCAATCGGGAAAACCTGTTCTATTTACTGAGAGATAAACAGGGAGCAGAATTTGGTACCATTCATGTTAAACTCAATTGTTCCACTTATGCAGCCATTGCCTTTAAAGGGCCCGTAAACCACCTCCGATATTTTTTCAAGCATTTCAAATAAACGCGAGAAACGTGTGCAGAATGCCGTCGCATTCAATGATTCTGCACGTGGCAGCGCTACGAGCCGCCGGCACGCCACAAATTTCCAAGACACAATCCCTTCTCCTTTCTGGTCCTTTTGGGCCTCCACGTGACGGGCTGTGCCAAATTTCTGACTCACCGGGCTAAATATACCAAATATGTTGTGACTGATCGAGCAAGAGCCTACGACTTCCAGTCAGTCTGCAAGCAGCTGCCTGCACTGTTGTTGTTTATCATGTTGCCCGCATGCGTGTAACACGTGCGGGCCGGAGTGTGTCCCCGCAAGGGTCCATCGCATTGCCAATCCATTGAAGGTATGCGTGCAATGTAGGTTTCATACCGGTACGATTACGGCAGCCATGGTTTGCCAACAAGCACACAACTGACGGAGTCGCCGGCCAAGTGGGCAGTGTTTCAAGCAGGGGGTCAACGTATGCCACGCGAGATTGGGGGGGGGGGGGGGGCAGGGGAGGGGCGCTCTGCAAGAGGGTATAGTGGCATGGGAGAGGAAACCAGCGAAGGGAAGAAGTGCAGGAGAGAGTGAAGGTGTGGTCGTCACTGTTTCGATAATCAGACGCCTCTAACTCCGCTACTACTTCACCGTTTCGAAATATTCTCACGGCTCCGCGTTTGTCGTACACTCGTGCACAATTTCTCCACAAAATTTCGACCTCTGGGTGGTCTACGGGCCCTTCAAAGAGATTTACATTTACTGAGAGCCTAGTGTAGGCTAATGTTAAGAAAGGCATTTCAACATGAAGGGGAAGCGGATGCTTAAGTGACATGGCAAACGTGGTGGCACGTTCCATAGTCTGTGTTTACTGTTTCAGGAACTCCACTGCTTTCAAGTCAGTTGAAGAGAAGGTTGGTTCGGTCTACACCAATGTGAAGGTACGTAGTGAGAGAGAGACGCGGAATGTTGCATTTGCGCTGCTTCTCTCTTGACAGATTCTTCACTGTGATTTTTCAAGACAAATATTTTTTTGCCAGCTTTGCTGCTTATTTGTGCCTTGCCCCCTTTCGTTATGCTAGGTGTAATACCACAATGTCACTTGTATGCTTTCTTTTGTTGCAGGAGTCGATCTCTTGAGCCAAAGCATAGCTTGTTTTCGTAGGAACCTCGGGCACCAGCAACCCCTTCTTGAAGTCTAGATGACTGACTGTTCAATAGCTTACTTATAATTGCCCCCGCTTCCTCGCTGGCTGTATTGTTCTTCTGTTTTTTTTTCCCTCTTTTTTTTTTTTCGTCTCTGCTTGATGCAGCTTGTAAATTTGTGTGGCTGCACTTAGTCCTTCCCCGAGTTCCTACACACTTGCAGGCATTGAGCGACTTGTTTGTTGCGAATTTCCCAGCATGGCGAAACTGTGAAGGCTCGTGCATTTTACCAAGCCACTGTGGCGATATTTTTCTTGCGCTTGGTGCTGCTTGTCTCCCTGTTTATTTTTTTTCTCTAACCTTGTTTTTTAATAAAGCCATGACCTGTCCTTTTTTTTGCTTCTTGTCTCGTGTTTGGGTCTCGATGTGTCTCTGCATGTCATCTAGTTTTATTAGTTATTGCATTTGAAATGGCTATTCTGGGAGGTCAGTGCAGTGCTGGCCCATGGAAAGCTAACATCAGATCACTAATGAAACACTTCGTGAAGCATTTTTGGCTCGCACTATAAATAGCACAAAGATGACGTAGCCTAATGCTTTCAGGGTCACATACTCTACAGCTGCTTTGATTACTGCTAAAATTTCTGCTTCCTTCCTTTCTTGCCTTGGAATGCGATTTGTTGGTAACCTAGTTGTATGGACAACATGTTTTTTTTTTTTTTAAACATAAAGGATGGATACAAGCTGCTTAAAGCTTGTGTATAGCTGTATGGGATCATTGGATTGGCAACATTCACTGCAGTTCTGTTTCTGAAATGTTGCTAGTGCAAATTTATGGCTGCATAGGATTTTCGTAGATGAGACCTCTAAAATTGACTAATGGTTTCATGGCCTGAATTATTTCACATACGGTCTCATATATTCAGTCACAGACCTAAATGGATAGAACTCTCATGGCTCATTTGCCGAATCTCTCTGGCGAAAAAAGTTTACTACGAGATCATTGCACAACCAAAAAAAGAAGAAAAGTTAAAGCCATCATTTCTTGTTAGTTCAGCAAAGAGATTGGTGGTTCACACAGGCATAGATGTTAGATTTACCTGTAGCAATTTCTCAATGCACATATCTCTGCGAATGCTTTACAGGAGGCCTTTTCATAACCCCTATATTTGTAATAGGGCTTGCTTATCCGACAGCTATGGTTCTTTAGTCTATACATTTATTACTTCCAGTTCCTTTCTATAGCTCACCACTATGCTATTGGCTGTAATAGTGTGCCTTCAAACTCTAAGAAGCAGTGCTGGTAAGGTCTCGTAACTTGCTGATTTATTGCAAGACACGAACTATGAATTTGACAGTATTGCTATCTAGCTTCATTCTTCACGTGGGTTTAAGTAAAAGCTGTTCCGAGCCATCAACATATTTGAATAAAATACAGCTATTACAGTACTGATAAAGCCAGCATGGTACAATGGTGCTGCTATTACTCATCTCCATCCATCATATAGAAAGGCATAGCCTATGTTTAAGTTACTCTTCTTTCTTTAGGTGGCTGTGGAAGATTTTTCATAATTTATACCTACAATCAAGTTTACCACCTATGGTATCGGTAGCGAAAGTTCTCCTGCCTTAGCATGTTGTCAGTATCACAAAATATGTTGGTTGTTGCACACTTAGTTTTTTTTTTAAGTATCAACAGCTTCTGGAATGTCGTAGCACTTAAAATTTATTATATACACAAGCCACAGATTTAGAAAGTGATGAACGAAGTTGTGAGTGCAGATATGTCAACTTTCTACACATCAGATCTTTCTCCTGATTGAAACTTTCTTAAAAAGGTAGTGTGTATGTGCACACAGGCGTTTTGTTTAATGAAATGCGTAATGATTAAGGCCCTATGGTGCGAAGTGCCTGCATGTGTGGTTTGCTCGTCTCCTGCACTTAACCGCTGCATTGGTGTTGCTAGATTAGCCTTCCAGCTGCATTGCAATGTTTTTGTTTCACATGAAGGACACATTTAAAAGTCAATGGGGAGAGAAGGTGGCATAGAATCGTCTCTAAGATTGCTGGCTGTGAAGCTGTATGTAGCTACACTGGTATTGTAGGCCACGCTGTACTGAGCAGAGTGGAAGTAATGAAGCACACTTGCAAACAGTGTGAACATACAGGCAGTTCTTCTCGATAGTGCCCGTAGAATTTGCCATATTTGGCATCAGTTTTTTGCTCATGAAAGCATTATTGTGTACAATCTACAACCCCCGTATTCAAAAACACTCCTCGACTTGAACTTGACTTACCACCGACTTGAATGCAGTACAAACGCGTTTCGAACATGCTGTCTTTAGGCAGTTCCAAGGTAGTACAAATACAGATGCGTTTCGAACGCGCTGCATTGAAGGCAGTTCAATTCAAGTTCAAGTCAAAGAGTGTTTCTGAATACGAGGGTAAGAAGTGGGACTTGGGAACAGTTTCCTGAAAGAACTTACTAACTGAAACTCATTAGCTGATAAATGTGGCACTTCAACCACCATGTGAATGATGGGCAGTGCATCGATTTGTCTGAACTCAATACCTGGCTTTGTCTATTTGTGATTAGATCACTTCCAGCCAAATATTGCATTGCAAGTGCTGCTCGTTGCAATGGTTGGTTCTGGATGTGTTCAGTAGGTGCTAAGGGCTCAGTGTTCTCTTAGGAGGTGCTACTAGGAAGTGTGTAAAAGATGAAGCCAAGTAATGCAAGTCTAGTATCTAAGCTGTCCTTTCATGATTCTTGAATAAATCTCAATGTGCACACACATTTGCAGAAAAGTGCAAAATGCGGAGCAATTTTATGATATAGTCTGCTCGTGATTTGAATGTTTGTTCAGTTTTAAGAACACGGGTGGCACAGCACTGAAGCTGCCTGTAAAACGTATCTTTGAATATGATGCGATCAAAAATGCCCAACGGGACTGGTTGTTTTCCTAAACTTGCTTTGCACCTCCCCTCTTTGCTCTTTTCTCCTCCTTTTCCCTCCACCTCGAACGACCCGCTGTCCATTTCCAGTCCAAGGTGTCGTCGCGAAGCAGCAGCGTCAACAGCTTTGAGGATGCACTCAACAGCCATCCAAGCAATACCTCAGTGTCAGCGACACCCACGACGACTCCCATTACTGAGGAAAAGAAGCCGCTTTCCTAAGAGTGGCTGGGTAATAATTATTCCGGACAGACTTTGGCATTCACCGTAATTTTTTTTTTTCCACTTAAAGAAAATCTCTTCCCAACGTGTATTTCTCTGCTTGCAGTCCCAATCCCTTGGTCCACGGAGAAAAGTGTATTAAAACAAAGCGGGCTTTGAGAAAACGCCCTTGCCATATCGAATGCTAACAAAAGCGGTTGTAAGTGGCAGCGGTGCAGCTCTTGGTGTGCTTACGGCCGATGGTCGTTCTCAATGCACATTCTCGATGCACATTCTTAATGGCAGCGGCAAATAGCAGCTTTACGTCCAGAGAACAGCGCGAGTGCCCGCTTGTTCCACCAGCAAAGCTTGTCAAGTAGTAAAACTGCAAGACGTCCAGTGTCATGCATCTAGGCATTGCCGCATGCGGTTTAATAAGCTTTCTCAACTTCCACACCTCGCGCGCACGATCTTGGGAATTGTCATGGGAGAAAGCGGGTGACCTAGTGTCCTTTTGCTCGTCCCTGAATTTAAATATATATATATATATATATATATATTTTTATGTGCACAGAGTGATTGATCGGAAAAAATGGATTGAAGGCGAAACATTTAAAAAAAAAAACATTCAGACTATTTACGATTTTCGTCTCCTTGTTTGCACATGTACGTACTTGTTTTTGCTTGTAGTATATCTGTGATTAATGAGTGCTCTAGCCACGTTTGTGGTATTTTCCGCGAGTGTGATGCACAAACCTCGGTGCAGTGTCGACTGGCGTGTAACCATTCCCGGTGGTACAATAGTTCTTAAGCTGCTGTGAGCTGGTGCAGAGGTGCCAACCAAAACTTCCTGTAATTACGGCATGAAACTATCTTTCAGCGAGAACTACAATTTAAAAATGGCCTGCTACAATGATGTTTGTTTCACATAAATAGAATGCAGTTTCAAATAGTGTGTAAATGAACGAGCTGAAGAAGCCTCAGTGTAAACTTTTGTTTGAAATAAGAGAAGATGCAAAGTGGAAAACTTGCAGAACTAGACAATATGAGTGCTGCGAATTGCCACCGTTAATGCTCGTTGGAAGCGATGCAAGAGGTAAAATATTAAATGCTAGTGCAGCTCGGTGAATCGGCTCGGCACCAGAATCTTGAGTGCAAGTTCACGCAAATAAGTCAAGTAAATTTTTTTTGCTAACATTATCCCAAGACTTGCTCAAAATTGTGCTTTTAACTGCCTTGATGATCTGGAAGTAGTCCTATTTTTTTATTCACATTGGATGGTTTCGTAGGGATGGTTTTATGTTTGAACATCCTTTTTAACCACAACTCCTTAAAAAAAATTGCAAAGCAGTGAGCATGTGTCAGTGCTTGGTGTAGGAGTTTTCTGTAATAGAGCAATTTTAGACAGAAGCATAGATTACTGGTGAACGGCATCTGCCAAATTTACTCTGGAAATGAAAAAATGTGAGGTTGTACTTACAGCAGCATAACAATTTGCAAAGGCTAGATACAATAGAAAATTGGAGAACAATGAAGTGTTTACAAATGGCATGTATGGAAAAGCATGACAAGAGGATGCCTGACCATTTTAACTTGTGCTTCCTGCAAAAGCATCTTTGCGGCCGAGTATTTTCATTTCAACAATGTGATTGATTACTGTCAGTTTAGAGCACAGGACATTTAATTACAAAATAACACCAGGAACTTCTGAGTAGCAACTCTGGAAACAGCAGTGGTCTTGATTCTCAATAGACTAATGAAGCAGAGATGTGCAAACATTGGATGGGGGACATCAAATATTGAAAGCACCTTGCACGGCAATCGTTGTGACCATGAAAGATGTATACGATTCATGCGACACTCCTGAACATTTACGTTGCAGTTGCAGTTCATGTCGAAAAATTATGGTACACACTATTTTGCTGGTTCCTTGATTTTTCCTATTTGTAACTGATGGTTTGGCTATACATACTTCGATTATTTCTTTATTTCTTATCACTGTTATATTTTGTGTACTCTTTACAGCTGTCATGTTTTTATTTGAAGTTTTTCTTCAATTACATGGCTGACTGTTAAATATTGTGTGTGTGTTAATGGTTAGGTGTCTTGTACTATATAGGTTCTTGTGAATCTGTCTTGTTAGAAATGCAAGCTGTAAATGAAGCTATGTTCTTGTAACGGTTTTTTTGTCGCTGCATATTTTTTTAATGGGGCGGGTGGGAAATGACGTAGCAGGGATGAGGAGAGCATGCGAGGACTGTGGAACGACTTGTCTGGCGCTTTTGGGCACGCTGTTTCTTTGCGTCATAAAACGAAAATGCGAAGGGCCAGCATTAGTGACCTTGCCAGATTTCAGTTTGGAATGCTTGTCAGAAGAAAAAATAAAATCTCCTTGGTGTATCCTTATAAATGTGGCTGCTTGTGTGTAGAAGAGCCCTAACGGCATTTTATATTGCTCTTTTATGTGTGTCTGTCATGCATTCAATTGAAGCCTTATTGCAAGCTCAAAGATTTGCCTTCAAGATATGTCAAACGAAATTTTGAAGCTGCTTATTGAAGATCATTATGTAGACAAAACACTTCTCTGAAAAACTGCACAAGCATTTTTTTGACTAAGTTTGTATGGCAGTGGTTGTAATAATTTACAAGAAACTGCTGTCAGCTACTGCTGTGAATTTTCCTATTTTTTTTCTGTTTGATTGACCATGTATATAATTCGTGGCTTTCAGCTTGTGAGCTGTGTATATAATTCGTGGCTTTCAGCTTGTGAGCTGACAATAACATTCTAGTAACTTTAAAAAAAGCCCATGCAGGTATTGCACCCATACGATACAAGCTGTCTCCTACCTTTGTTGATGCCACTTAGTTATCCTACTCATTTGTTGGAAATTGTGTTTACAGTAAAGCGTGTAGCATATAACATTGGAAAGTAGCCCTTGGAAAGGTCCTCTATGGTCTGCGTTGAAGTACATCAGTGTGCCTGTTCCATATATTTACATTATGCAGCTTGTGTGCAGCACGACAACACACTGCTGAAAACATTTGCTGAACTAAGAAACTATAGCCATGGTTGCTTAGAGACTACGGTGTTGTGTTGTTAAGCTCAAGGACTATGTTTGATTCTCAGTTATGAACACTGCTTTTCAATGGGAGCCAAATGAAAAAACAACCATTGGCATGAGCGAAAAACAACCGTTTGAGGTGCAAATTATGGTTCACTGTGTACGGGTGTCAGATTCACATAAGACTCGCAAACAGGTTCAAAATGACATGATATTGAAAAGCACTGAAAGTGATTGCATCCATCATACAAAATTTAGCTTTACCTGCGCTAGTTTAAATGTTATCAACATGGCCGAAAGTTCATATTGTCAAACGGTACATTGGTGAAATGGGAGAGCCTGTTAATAATGGTTGCAATGGTGATCGCACAAACACGGCAAGAAATTACTGAGAGCAGCGGCACATCATTTCAGTGTAGCAGGGCGTAACTTAGACGATATCAAACTTAACATACTACAGTCATACTTCCAGTGTGCAAGAGACAGAAAATATACTGAGTCATACCTTATTCGCAAGTTCAATACACCGCAGCCTGCAGGTAAAAACATTTCTAAGGGGGTCCTTGAAGCCATTCAACATGGTACCCACACAATGAAAATCAATCAGGAATTTTAAGCCTAGCATTAAGTGGTGCTTTTGACAACTGTAATTCAGTGAAATGCCTACCCCCCCCCCCCCTTCCTTTTCTAATTCACAGAATACCTCTTCTCTTTCACTCACACAATTCTTCACAGTGCTCCTCCTGCTCCCTGCATCTATAGTTTTTTTATTTCGGATTGGAGGAGAGGGTATGAAGCATATACACGATAGCACAAAGGAAATCCATTGTAGCCTTGAGGAAGACAAATTCACTTCTGCTCGAGCACAACCCGTGTTAACCAGATATTATCATCGCAAGCTCTCATCTTCCCCTTCCTTCTGTTTTTTATGTTCACATAACTTAAACTTAATTCTAAGTTCGTGTTCATAAACGCTCCTTGACTTGAACTTGACTTGCCACTGCTTTCAATGCCACACGTGTTCTGAACGCGCTGCTTTAGGCCAAGGCAGCACAAACGCATTTCAAGCGGGCTGCAGTGAAGGCGGTGACAAGTCAAGTTCAAGTCGAAGAGCGTTTGTGAATACGGGGGTAAGGTACTCAACATTGCATTAAAAAAAAATAGTGTTGTCTGTGAGCTTCAGCTATTGTAATTAGCATGTACTATTCTGCAGTCAAATCATGCTCATTTTGACAAAAAAAAAAACCGAATCATAGGCTCCGAATGTGTGCGAAATTAGTTCTTGGTTGTGTTGATTTCAAGAAGAGTAATACTTTTTGACTTTGGTTCTGGAACATAAAAGGTCAAACTACCCATTGAACATCGTAGTGCCTCACCAAAGTGATTGGCTACCATCATACACAGCACACTGAGGTCAAGTCAAGTTATATTTACTATCCAAAAAGTTCAATTCATCTGATGAAAGCTGTATTTTTGTTCTCCTTTGACCACAAGTTGACACAAGCAGCATAAACCAATTGTATACACAAGCCTAGCCACACCTAATGAAGGGGATATTGAGGTTCACATTTAAAAAAAAAAAAAAACACCTAGGTGGTCATAATTAATCTGCAGCGCCCTGCCAAGGCGTGTTTTTGGTACATGAAACTCGCAGAATTTAGTTTTTCTTCTGGCTAATGTTTCTGCACTTGACGTCCATTTCCTAAGGACTATCTAGCTGGGATTCACAGCACCTGTGTGCTTGCATAGACATAATTGTGATTTGAACGACCAAAGAGCTTCCACATTTAGGCATTGATAGATCCCCGACAAGTTCTTCTTTTCTGCAAGTTGATAAAAGGGAAGATCTGCTATGTTGAGATCGTATAGAGATGCCTTTCCTTTTTTGTTATTGTGTGTTCCAGAAACTTCCGTTCCCAAGTTTACTTTACGTAAAAGTCCATATCTGGCACTGGAATGGCACGCAAAGATTTGATCAAATATGCATGTTCTTTCAACTAAGGTGGCACACATACCAATAAGTGTGGTGCCATCAGACCTACACTTTCACCTATGTTCGGAGAGTGACTCATTGAATGAAGTGTATATACACATTGTGCAAGAAAATTTATTACAATTACTTTAGTAAGAAAAATTAAATTTCAATAGTTACAACTAACTGTTCACAAAAGTTGATTGATAAATTACTGAGAAATAATACATTTCTTTAACATTATTTTAGATGCAAAACAGCTCTTTGACTAGCCTGTGTAATGCTGTTTGTCCGTGTCTCCGTGCCAATGCGCTCTGCCACAGTTGTTAGAACGATGCCGAGTAGGTCAAATTGCAGCTGTGCGTTGAAGTCACTCTCTCCCTCACCCGCAGCAGCTTCCGGCTCCTTCCAAGACAGTTGTGTTGTTCCTCCGCCTGCTTGCAAGACACTTCTCTCTCTCTCTCTTCACCCTCTCCATCGCCACAACACTCGACCACACGTCCAGTGGAAACACTCTTTTGGCTTTTTGATCTGCGATGAAACTTACACGAAACCAGACCCACCTCCCATGTCTTTGCATTCCAAAAAAATGCTTACTCGAGTAAAGGCTGCATCGAGTTTCGCTTCAAAACATTCTTCCACCATCTGCGTTGACGCCCGTTTCAGCCAGGTGAACTGCATTCCCCCCACTGATGCTTCGCATTTCATCATGGTTCCCTTCAGAGAAATGGCCCATAATATTTTCTTTCCAATTTTATGTGCCAGGCATTTCTTGCCTACTCATACATGAGAAGTCATTTCTAGCATGATCTTGCTCAAATAAAATAGCTCACACTCTGAAACATCAACTTTGTTAGTGCTGCGTATCGTACCATGGGCTTCATGCCCGAAAGCATTATTTTAATTGTGTTACCTGTGGGGGTGTAAAGTGTGCTTCAAGTTAAACCATATATCACACGAAATGTAAGATATAAAGGTGCAGAAGCGCTGTGTCACTTATGTAGCACTTCATATACATTTCTCGCAAGGCATACAGGCACACTAGCATAGTGACAGGTGTTGCATGTTTGTTAATGTCCTTCGATAATGCAAGTACCAGGCAACATATGGCGAAATTGTAGCACAATGTTTGGTAGCTGTTGAATGAACCTGGAAAATCCCTGGGATCCCATGCCAGATTCCCAATGCAGTGGCAATAGTACAGGCTGCACGACCTGTCCCTTGAATGACAAGGCAAGTTCAAAGTGCCAAGGTTCACCCCCTACAAAGCGTTGGCGTAAATCGAGCTAGCATGTTTCATAGCTGTGGACACGATACTGTAGTTTGCATCAAGGTACAAATGATGGATACGACATGTAACATCACCAGCTTGTCTTGCTAATGAAGAAATGGTCAAAAATTGTGGAATAATTATTGAAGATGTCGCTGGTGTCGTTACAACAAGTGGACCTGATTTGTCTTAGTCAAGGCAGCTGCTGCCATCCTTAGAATTGGTCCACCTTGCTCACTCTTCCCTAACTTCAAAAGTAGAGGAGAAGAAGAGAAAGTATGTGCATAGGAAGAAGATAAAAGAAAACGGAGGCGTGTGCTATTGAGGTAGGCTGGTCTGTAAAATGGAGGTTGGGTGTTGCAATTAAGGTACGAACAAAAGCCAGATAGAAAGAAAGCAAAGCATTAAAAGTGTGCAAGGTAAACGGTCCCTACCAGTTTTTTTCAGTTTGACAGGTGAAATGGAGGCAAGAGTAAAAACTACACTAAGCATTGGAGAGTTTAAAGAAAGTAATTGTAAGAATACCAAGGAAACTTGATTACAGTTAATCGAGTACATAAAGGTCTGACATATGCTAGCTTGCCTTTATTATAAATGACACCGAGATCTGACTGCTTGCAAGCATCCCACAACTCACGGTTGCTTTGTGTAGCAGCACACAGAAATGCCCAGTGCATTCAAAATTTTTGTCGAAGTAGCATATTGCTAGGTGCCGTGATGGCCCGTGTCAGCAAATTATCACAGTCTTTCGCAAGTGTTCCCCTTTGGGGCTATTGGTTCATGGTTCAAGTCAACGCAATGTAGCATGACTGGATAGGCACAGAAAAAAAACTTTATCCACTTGCAGCAATACTTTCAACCACAGTTTTACTTTTGCACGTATACTATAAGTATAACCAGGCAAACAAGAGAAAATGTCACAATAAAATCATTTAAAGGTATACATCAAAGAAACGATGGCATAATCACAACCTACCTAAATTTGTTTTCCTGATAATGCGAGAGAAAACGTGCTCAGAAACTTTCAATTTTCAATATAAAAAAAAAAAACCACAGCATATCCACGGAGTGAATGATTATGCGTGCCGTGAAGCTTCGAAGGGTTTTATCGACAAACCATGAATCATTCACTGGCCGTGTCTGTTTGTATGTCCGTCTGTGCGTCCATCTAGTGAACACTCCAAGTACCGCCATCTCGCATCTTTTCATCATTAGAGTTACTGTATATGCTATCCTTAGGTAGCAGAGTCGTGCCACTGTTTTCCGGGCGCCGCTCACCAGGCTTTTGATGATTTCAGCAATGCTATTGATTGCGTGCCATCACGTGGTCATAGGTGGTTCAAATGCACTGCGGAGAAACCAACACTACGCAGCCATCGTCGATGCTTCACAGTGTTACGAACGCGCTGGCGCCCTTTGCACAGACACCACGTCCGTCCTTCACCGACACTGGACGCGTCCCACAGAGACGCTGGACGCGTCTCAATGGCGGTGCTCCCATCTGCTCCTTCAGCGTCTCAACGCCTGTACACGGCCGGCACATTTAGCGTCGGAGGCCTCCTCGTCCTCGCTCTGTACATACGTTGTAAAAATAATTTTTTTGTTTTGTTCTGGCTGCATTTTGCCTTACTACAGCCTGGATGCTCCCTGCCCAGTGTTGGCCCTCATAAAAAATAAAAAGAAAGCGAAAAAGTAAAGCAAGCAACGCTAGTGCTCCGAAACGTGAGTGCTGCTCTTACGCCAGCGGTGAGCGGCTTTCCCGCGAAACTTTTGAACCCAAGATGACGTGCGTACTTTGGCGCAACTCTGCTATCTAAAAGTAGCATAAACAGTAACTCTATATGTCATATACACGTACCGCCACCTAGTGGCCATTCGAAGGACTAATACGAGAGGTGGCTACTACATACAGAAGACACAAGACCCACGCCTTAAGGTGCTTCGCCCCTGAAATCTTCAAGAAGTCTACTTTAAACCAGATTACCTGATGTACATGCTGGTGCTATAGTGAAATGCTGTTGGACACATATAGGTTCTTTGTTGATTTGTTTTATTATGTGGTTACACGTATCGCATGCATGTGAAATTAAAGAAAAAATTGGTAGTTGTAAATAGCTCTGTCCTCATCCAGTCGTGCTGCACTGTGTTATCATGAACACTAACCAACAGGCTGCCCGCATCCCTTAGTCAGTTTATAGGTTGCCACAGCAACACTCGGGCAGCACACCTGGTTTCATGATTGAGTCATGAAAGTGGTTCTTAAGTGGTGTTATATTATAAGTTGTCAACAAAGTATTTTCAGCGACACGAAAAGGTGCCTGACTACACCACAGCAACCACCCACTTTGCTCGTCACGACTACTTAATACTGATCTCTGCACTCCATCCCAAGATGCGTGTGCCTACCAGCTGCTGAAAAGCATGTTTTACTTGAAAGTTTCACGTGTTTGTAGATGTGTAGCCCACCATAAAAGTTGAAAGTTGGTGACACTACAGCCGACCATCTAGACAGACAATGTGGGTAGGGTCTGTCAGGACTTATTTGTGCACTTTTCGAATCGCAGCACACTAAGAGACTCTGCTCCACATCGCCTAGCAATAACGCATCTTCCCTGCAGGCCGTGTGTAGACATCAATTTGCAGACATCATCTGAAAGAAGAAAAAACTCGCTATAAAAGAATCTGTACAAGAAGCGGAAATTGTTAAAATGCCAACACTTGACGGAGAGGCTTACCAGGGTCATTCTCCTTGATTACTAGTAAAAAATACAAGCCACGGTCGCTCAGTATTTGAGAAACGTAGGGAGCCAGCCTGTCCATGACCTCGCGACCTTTTATGCCACCAGCCCAGGATCGAGTGAGCAGCTGATCGCCTTGCACCTACAGGAAAACAGAATGTTAACTATAATGCATACATGCCAGCATCGCTACTTGGTTTTGGCAATAATGCTATATACTGTGTAACTGTCTACTGTTCACAACATTTGTGACCTGTGCTTCGGGTATCTCAAGTGTAAATATGAATGGTACGCACACAACACACACGAGCAGTTTTAAAATTGTTTTTTAAGTGAGATAATAGGAGACAATAGTCAACGTTTCGTGTCTCAAAACCAAAATGTGATTATTTGAGATGCCGTAGTGGAAAATTCCAGAAATTTTGACCTCCTAATGTTATTTGATGTACACCTAAATCTAAGTAAACGAATCTCTAGCACGGCGACCACATTCTATTCTATCAAACAGGTGGAAAGGAGAGCAAGGGGGAGCAGTGGATCAAGCAAAAATAAGAAAATTAACATAATAATATGTCACATATAAGACACTCATGGCAATAATTCTATAGTAAGGTCCTGCTTGGTCAGGGTCGAGAATCTGTTCTGCCTTTAAATTAAGTACTTCTTCCTCCATCGGATATACCGCAATAATAAATGCATGCTATATCACAGCAGTGATGCTGAAAAATTCGTTGTTAGCGAGTTCAATAACATTAAACAAGGGATTTCATAAAAGAAGTAGTTTTTTTTTTTTTCGCGACTACGTACACCTCAGCAAAAATCATGACACTTAATTTTTGTAAATCGAACTTATTACCTCTTTAGACGGCGTTACGACGTACGGCGGATTAAAAATCAGGAGGTCCACTCGGTTGCGAAGGCGGTCCGCAAGACATTCTACCTGGTAAAACACGGGCATGGTCGCAAGCAATGTCACAGATTGCCCTGTAGCTGGCATGCTCGACAATAACATTTTAGTTTTACAAGCGGAGGAACTGCTTACGAGATCGTTAACAACGACATCAACATCAGCTCCGTTTCTCTCACAGGTCCTTTTGGTCATGGCCGCTGCATTTTCATTTATGTCAGTTGCTCTGTAAATCAGCGTTCGGTGGTTTCAGTTAAAGTGAACAGGCTTTTACAGACCAAATATATGCACTTACATAAAGCAACAAGTCCGGCCTAACGCTTTCGCTATTGCTGCAGTAACAATCCCTGAACCGGAGCCAACTTCAACGCATAGTGATGGCCTGGAAACCGGAGAAAACCACGTTTCGAAACATGCGACGTATATTCGGTCATCGTTACCTCCTCCTGGCGATCTCTGGAAGCTCCTTTTCGAGAGCATCGATTAAGAGAAAACTGTCTTCCGCAGGCTCGTACACGGTGGCTGCTTCGCTTTCACTGAAGGAACTGATGATCGGCGTTTCCATTGGAGGAATCTACATGAGACACTGACATGAGAGGAGTTTGTTTTCACCACGTTAACCACGTTTCGACGCCCCAATTTGTTTACGTCAGAGTACGCAGCACACTTTCCAGAAGCGGCTAAATTTGGCGGCTAAATTTGGCGGCAAGCTTGTTTATGATTTTGCGCAACTGACGCACAACTGACGGAACGTGGTGCTGCGAGCGCTCTCTGTTTGACGTCACTGTTTTTGTCGTCTGCTGCGTGGCTACGTTGAGGCTGCAGGCTATCCCTACGCGTCGTTGGCCCTTATTTCTTGGTCTTCGTCTTTGATTTCTTTGTCTTCGTCTTTGGCTAGCGTAAAATGAAGGTATTCGTCATTTGTCGATATTGGCAATATTGGCCACTCGCTGCAAGTGTGTGGCCGAAAGAGGAATACAAGAGAGAAGTACAGTTGAATACGTGCAAGAGAGAAATACAATCGACAGGGAAGAGTTCTCACACAATGCGGCTTCATATATATCAAGGCAGTGATCTAATTATCTTTACGTATCTTCTGCGCTAGCTTTTGTTTTCTCTTTGCGGCATTCTTGATACCCTAGTTTATGCATGCGCTTAGGAGGCAAGCTAAAACTCTACCTACTGTGCTCGATATCGCAGTGGCATTTTTCTTTTTTTCGTGATAAGACTGCCCAGATTCAGCTTGGTTAATACTTTCTCTAGGAGCAGCGAAATGCTGCTTATTATCATGATCGATGTTGCCACTATGCCCATCCCAAGGGCGGATTATGTTATCTTAGAACAATAAAGTGGAGTTTATCGCCAGGCACAGTTCGCATAAATGACGCCGTTGCGTATCACTATTCAGCTGATTAACCTATGCTGCGGGTATCGTTTGATCTCGAGGACCTCTAATCTCGTCTTCATTGCTCACGCGAAACAAATCGTATTTTTATTTCTAGCCTCATCTCATCTCTTTAGAAGATAATGGATGTGAGAAAGGGATTGCGCTAGTCGTGCTTTCGACTTTGGAAGAAATCTGGGTATTGCGCATACTTTTGCGCACATATATTATTTAACCTCCCCTGCGTTTTTATTAAACGTTTTCTTTTTGCCCCGCCGCGGTGGTCTGGATTTCCGATGGTGACGGAAATGTTGTAGGGGGCTCAGATTTGGGTGCACATTAAAGAACCCCAAATGGTCGCAAATTCCGGAGTCCTCCACTACGCCGTCTCTCATAATGATATGGTGGTTTTGGGACGTTAAACGCCGCATATCAATCAATAAATTAAATGTTTTCTTTACGCGAATAACTCGTCATTTCTGTACACGGAACGCGTTGGGACACGAGTATTAGCAGTGATGAAAAACTTCCGGACGGCGCATATTCCAACTTTAAACTGACCTCTTTATTCTTATCTGCTCACTTTCCTCTTCCTTCCTTTCACTGCCTGGTGAGTGAGTTAAGTGGGTGAAGGGAGGATCGGTTAGAAGAGGAGGACTGCCACTCCTCCTTCTAGCCTGTTGTACACGTTCGAGGTTTCTCAATTCGAGAACGAGTTCCCGTTAAAATTCTTTAAATGCGAAAGAAACTCGTTACAGTTACATTTTCGTTACGTTAACGTTACTTCAGATTTTTTTTAATAAATACAGAGTGTCACCTAATCCTGGGGCAGAATAACATCTGAAATTCAAAGTTCACATTGAACTATACACATATCATGTGAATTTAATAACGCCGACAGCAGGTTATGTGTAAGTAAAATGAATCTAAAAAAAAAATAAACGCCCCTTAGACGAATATTTTAGAGACCACCAGCCCTACTACAGCCGTGTATAACTGCAATTTTTCGGGCTCTTCTATTTCAGGTCGAATACATGTGGCACTTTCCACGTCGGTCATCAAACTCGCGGCCAAGATACATCGCTTCAAGTATTCAAACATAAATCTCCATCAATTCATCAATATAATTAAATTCATTGAACAGCAAACGGTATTGAAAACGACAATGCCCAGCCATTTAGTGGGTGCCGATTCAATATTTCTATGTGAGTAGAAAATAAAATAATGTCCTGGATACACGCTTGCTACTTTTGTCTTGTAAATTCCCCTGTTCGCATTCAAAGAACACATTTATGTATTTTTTTGTCCTTCTATCTTTTTCTCTCTTTCTTCACGTTCGTTCCCTATATTTTTCTTTTTATGTTTCTTTATAAATCTTCGTTTGCCCGTCTTTCTCTCTCTCTCTGGCCTTCTATCCTTTTGTATTTCATTCATTTCTTTCTATTTCTTTTTTTCCCTTTCATCTCTTTTTCTCTCTACCTCTATACTCGTTCTCGTCTCCTCCTCACCCTCAATTCGCTTTAACAACCCCCATGATATACTATACTAATAAAAGATACATTCTCTTGTAGCGCGAGAGCGTGCTGCACAAAAAAAAAAAAACGCGCAATTTTTTAATCATCCCACTTAATTAGGATGGTCACTCAGCTAAGATGCGTAAACGAGCAAATTGAAAGTCAGCCAGAACGGTACTGGCATTGGTGAGCTGTTCATCTTTCATACTGCCGTTCTTATGTACAATTGAAAATGGCCGTCATTTGAGGTATTCGCTCTAGGTTGAGTCTCACCGCAGTGCCTCCCACCCAGCCCCTCCCCGTTGGTCGAATTTCAAAGAAAACAATCATCGCAGTCGATATAAAAAATTTTAAGGAAGTGAAGCGATTACGCGCCACTTGACCATCCTGCCTTGGTCCCCTGCTCTCCGGAGATAACAATGGCAAGTAAGCGGGATTTGCAACGCAACATCGGCAGTCCTCTGCTGCCATTACCACCAAAAGCCTGCATGATCACAATCATACCACTTTAATTATAAACTAGAGGAAATTAAAGAAGTCAGGCATAAGCTAGTTGGTGCGTTTCCATTATACAAATATGAAACATTGCTTAACACGCATGACCAAAAGAGTGTGGTACGCAAAAAAAAAGAAGTGTCCAAATAAGTTACTCGTTTACGCTAACAAAAAGGGCACACGCTACCGCCCTGCCTTACTTACAAAAAAAAAAAAAGAAAAAGACCTGTTCGTTTCCACCCCCCCCCCCCCCCCAAAAAAAAAAGTGACGCACGTTACTTCGGCCCTTACAGGGTCATAATTCTGAATCAGATTGTCTTCGCTGCTGTAAGCTACAGTAACAATTTTATAAAGCTCCTATTTATGCTTCAAATAAAATTTCTAGTTCAAACAATAATTTAACTTGAAATACAGAGTTAACGAGAATAATTTGCACAGGTATGCCTTCATTCATTCATTCATTCATTCACAAAACTTTATTTGTGTCCTGAAGCCCGGTACCACCAGGCCGAGCTTTGCGGCGTCATCGTGGACCTTCTGGACTGCCCGTAGTTGGTCTTGATAAGACCTGCTTCACCGCACCATCGTCTGCCGGTAAAGCCATTGTTCTTCGGTGTGGGCGATAGTCGCGGGACAGCCCGCCGGCATGTGGGTGATCCCAATGATGCCATTGCACACGTCACACTTGCCTTGAATTTCACTGTCAGGGAGAATTTCAGGTAGAAAAAAAGAATGGCAGCATATCCACGGAGTGAATGATGGAGAGTGGGGCGAAGAATTCGTCCGTTCATTCGTTCTTGCTTCCGTCCATCCATGCGTCCGTCAGTGTGAACGTCCATGCGTCCATCAGCCCGTCCGTGCGTGCGTCTGTTCGTGCGTCCGTCCCTGCGTTCGTCCATGCAGCCGCCCCTGCGTCCGTTCATGCGTCCATCCATGCGTCTGTCTATGTGTCCGTTCGTCCATCTATCTATTCAACACTCCAAGTACCACCATCTCGCATCTTTTCATCATATATTCCCCATATAGAAGCACCGCCATCCAGCGGACATTCCAAGGACTAAACGAGAGGTGGCACACGCACACTTTCTTACGGCTTGCGCTTCGGGTCCACTTCCCACCTTTAACCACCTCGAGTTCATGGTATATACTAGTTCACTGTATTCATGGCACTGCGGCCGAACGCTCGCTAAACCTTTCGAAAACCAAGGAGGTTACGCCCAGCAAGTATGACGTAGCAAACTTTTTCAGTCAGATAGTGCTCAATGTACATGCCAATGGCTGCTAATGGGAAATGAGAGGCGGAAAATTCGGCTTTTACTTTCTTACGGCTTGCGCTTCGTATCTACTTCCCATTTTTAACCACTTCGAGTTCATTCATTGTATATACAAGTTCATTGTATTCATGGCACTGCGGCTCAACGCTCGCTAAACCTTTCGAAAACCAAGGAGGTTACGCCCAGCAAGTATGACGTAGCAAACTTTTTCAGTCAGATAGTGCTCAATGTACATGCCAATGGCTGCTAATGGGAAATGAGAGGCGGAAAATTCGGCTTTTACTTTCTTACGGCTTGCGCTTCGTATCTACTTCCCATTTTTAACCACTTCGAGTTCATTCATTGTATATACAAGTTCATTGTATTCATGGCACTGCGGCTCAACGCTCGCTAAACCTTTCGAAAACCAAGGAGGTTACGCCCAGCAAGTATGACGTAGCAAACTTTTTCAGTCAGATAGTGCTCAATGTACATGCCAATGGCTGCTAATGGGAAATGAGAGGCGGAAAATTCGGCTTTTACTTTCTTACGGCTTGCGCTTCGTATCTACTTCCCATTTTTAACCACTTCATTCATTGTATATACAAGTTCATTGTATTCATGGCACTGCGGCTCAACGCTCGCTAAACCTTGGGAAATGAGAGGCGGAAAATTCGGCTTTTACTTTCTTACGGCTTGCGCTTCGTATCTACTTCCCATTTTAAAACCACTTCGAGTTCATTCATTGTATATACAAGTTCATTGTATTCATGGCACTGCGGCTCAACGCTCGCTAAACCTTTCGAAAACCAAGGAGGTTACGCCCAGCAAGTATGACGTAGCAAACTTTTCAGTCAGATAGTGCTCAATGTACATGCCAATGGCTGCTAATGGGAAATGAGAGGCGGAAAATTCGGCTTTTACTTTCTTACGGCTTGCGCTTCGTATCTACTTCCCATTTTTAACCACTTCGAGTTCATTCATTGTATATACAAGT